ATGGGTGAAGTGTCCCTTTAACAGCGATCAAACAAATGCCAAAATAGAATCAGAGGACCCGTGTGTAGGATTTAGTGGCATCTAGTGGTGAAGTTGCAGATTGCAGCCAACCACTGTTGTGGTTGCATCAAAAATGTACTTAGATTAAATGCATACGATGCTGTATTAATAGCAGTTCCTATACATTTTATATCATCAGCAGCCAAACAACAAATTAAGCCCCAAAACCTGCTCCCATCTCATCAACCATTGGCACACATTTGCAGGCCGGATTATTTTATATGTTTGACATTATGTAGCAGAGAAGGGGATGGACTTTTTTTTTGTCACAATATATCACCTTGGTCACAGTATCACAATTATCACGATATCTTGAATGGTAACCCCTGTATCTTGATTCTTCCCAATACATAGCCCTGTTATCTAGAGGCAGTGTTTGGTTTGAATTAAATCCATTCATTTGAATTTCCATTTTAAAACTGAGATTTGATCTACGAATGTTGTAATGCAGGGATATATAGCTGCTAAGGACAAGAATAATTTCCCTATAGTATCTCATATGAAGAGAAAGGGCCCCAGCAATAAAACATTACAACAGCAGGGGTGTTTTCACATTTCCAAAGAAATAAATTGGATGTGGTGTACAAAAATCAGAGATTTTAGTTTGTAGGCCATATCACCTATCCCTAGTAGTAACATGGCAGACTCTGTAGAAGAGATAAAAATGTCTCATTCTAAGGTAACAAAAACACAAAAAAACTACAATTCTTATTTCGTTTTTTTAAAACATACATATGAATATTATATTCCATTTCTGACAATAGATCCCCTTATTGTTACACACTGGACCTTTAATTAGCGGGTGAGAATGTTATCAAAATAGGGTTAAAATAAGAGAAATTCTGAGTATCAGTGTGACCCTAACCTTCAGTGAGTGTTCCGAAAGTTTTCATAAAATGTTTTCTCTTCTTCCTCAGAGATGAGCATGAAGACTTCAAGGAGGAGATGTGTCGGCTGAAGAAACTGAGAGGAAAAGGGAAACCAAAGAAGGGAGAGGGAAAGAGAGCAAGCAAGAAGAAATGAGCTACAGCATTTCCTCTGCTCCTTCTTTACATAGGATTTGTGTTTTTGTTTTATTGTGTTTTCTTTAAGAAGGCAAACAGTGTTGGACTGTGCACTGTCACTGGGGGAGCTTTTCTATGTTTGCAAGAATAATAGCTTAAGTTAGCATTACATGTGAAACATCTCTCTTGGTTGTGTTTTTGAACAGTGTTGAAACACTATGGAGCTATAAACAGCCAATCAAATGCTAATGTGATTATAATTATGATTGTACATACACAACAGTAAGAAACCTGTGGTCATGTCTTTTAAAGCTTCATGGTTAATAATACATTTTGGTCTATTGTACCTCATGTTGTAGCTGGTGTTAGCTTAAAGCTGCAGTAGGAAACTTTTATAAAAAAATAACTTTTTTGTCATATTTGCTGAATCTTTCACTAAGTGCTAATGCTCTGGGTCAAATACTGACGCTCTGGGTCCTAAAGCATCAGTTTGACGACCTAGGAATGAGACTCTTAGGAGCACTCGGAGGAGCCAGAGGTTGTTTTAAAAAGTGATAAGAGCTCTGATCTTACCAATGAAAGGTCTTTTCTGCCCCAAAATGACTTTATTTCACCCATGTGAGTTATATTTTAAAGATTATAGCTCACCTACTCAAGTTTTACTAGTTGAAATACCTTCAAAGGGCCAATATAAGCTGTAATATGCAGTTTTCCACTTGCCAAAAAGTGATTAAAGCTCTGTGTGAGTTTTTTTTTTGCTATATTGCTGAAAAAAAATCATTGATTTTTATCTGATGGGGTTTGATTTTTAAGGGCTAATCTAAAATTTTTCAAATAGACTGGCTTCAAGAGATTTTGACTATTGCAACTGCTGTGCATTCAGATTATGCCACCAAAAGACTAGCTCCCTCAAACATCTCTGTTTTCAGCTTCATTGCTGAAACACGTTTCACCTAGCCACATATCCCCATAAACTTAAGTAGCAAGGACTTCATGAACTTCTTTTATAAGAATTAAAATTATTACTATTTAGAGAGAAAATGAGTCACAAATGCCCAACAGCTATCACTGCTCTCCGAGTTCAGGAACTTTAACTAATGTAAACTTAGGAGTATATATTAGAATGTTTTCGGCTATCGACATTCATCAAGTTAACTTCAATAATTTCTTCATCGAAGCCAAATCAAACCTGTCTGTTAGATCCAATCCCAACTAGGCTGCTTAAAAAGTGTACCCTTAATTGGCACCTTTCTCTTACTAGATATGATTAATCTTTCTTTATTAGACAGATAAGTACCACAGTCCTTTTTAAATAGCTGTAATTAAAACCCCTTCTTAAAAAGCCCACTCTTGACCCAGGGAGTTTTAGCCAACTATAGACTGATTTCTAACCTCCCTTCCTCTCTAAGATTCTGGAGAAACCAGTCGCCAAACAGTGTGTGTACTTTTTACATAGCAATAATTTATTGAGGACTTTTTCTAGTACGAGATGATTTTTAGCCAGT